GTGACTAGCACATACTATATTTCTTCTCATGAGTAATTTTTAAAATTAATTTATTTTTTAATCCAAGGATAATTGCTTTACAGAATTTTGCTGTTTTCTGTCAAACCTCAACATGAATCAGCCAGATATATATCCCCTCTGTTTTGAACCATCTCCCATCTCCCTCGTCATCCCACCCCTCTAGGTTGATATAGAGACCCTGTTTGAGCTTCCTAAGACATACAGCAAATTCCTGTTGGCTATCTTCTCATGATTATTAAAGGATACCTAGATATTGCAAAATCACAACTCATATGTTGCTTGATGTAATACACAGTCCTCTGTGGCATATAATAAATATCCATGTAGAGGCAAACACAGAAAAGATTAACATAAATTTAAAATGCTCTAGTGCTATAGACAGCTTCCCTGGTGGCTTTATATCCAACTGAAGGAATTTCCATAGGTCAAAACTCCAATTTGTACTTTTTCCCCAAGTCCCTATGAATACCATCCCTGTGCATTTCCAATTCATGGTGTTCAAAAGGGCCAAGTCTAATATATAGTTCCAACTCCATAACTTAACTAGAGGAATTTATTTCATAAAGACTGAGATAGAAAGTACAATGGTGGTTACCAGAAATAGAGTAAGGGACAACAAGAAGTTATTATTTAACAAGTACCAAGTAGTAATTTGGGATGATGAAAAACACCTTGAGATGGATGGTGGCAATGACTGCATAACAATAAGAATATGCCTGGGAACTCCCTGATAGTCTAGTGGTTAAGGGCTCTGTATTTTCATTCCCAGGGCGCAGGTTTAATCCCTAGTTGGGGGGCTAACATTCCACTAGCCTCATAGCAGCCCCAGCTACCCAAAAATGTGTACTTAATGCAACTTGATGTAACTACATACTTAAAATGGTTAACACAGTAAATTTTACATGATGTACATCTTACAATAGTAGAAAAGTGTGAGTAGAGAATTACTAACAGTAGTATTTAATGGATCCTCCAGAAATAACACATCTGGGGGAAAAAGTTAAAACCAGCATGATTGGCAGTGCCTCTCTTAGAGACTGGAGAAGGAAATGGCAACCCACTCCAGTATTCATGCCTGGAAAATCCCATGGACTAAGGAGCCTGGTGGGCTACAGTCCATGGGGTCGCAAAGAATTGGACATGACTGAGAGACTTCTCTTCTCTTAGAGACTCAGCTGTATAAAATATCTGTGCAGAGGACCTAAAGTGCTAGAGGCTTCTCTAGTAATATATAGAATTTTATGTATTTCAGCTATTTATCTAAAATGGATATTTTAAATTAGTAAATCAAAACTCAAGATTCTTAGACGATGTTAGTTTTAAAAAAACTACTAAAGTCAGATTGTAAATGGAGAAATGTAGAGTATGAATAAAGAGAATATAAAGAAATTGGTTAGCTGGTTATTTCAAAGACTTAATACACTGAACAAAACATCTCACACAAACAATATCTTTTGTGTGTGATGCATTGGGACTTCAAGGTTGTAAGGGGTTTTTTTCCAGTTGTGGTGCAATAGCTTAGTTGCCCCACTGCATGTTGAGATGCTTGTTTCCCACTCAGAGAATGGATCTGTGTCTCCTGAATTTCCTGCATTGCAAGGTGGATTCTTAACCACTGGACCACCAGGGAAGTCCCACAAAACAGTATTTTAAAATACCCACATGCAGGGTCACTTTTGTAGGCAGCCTGCTGGGGGAGGTCAGTAGTCTCACAAGCACAGCTGCCTCAGTCTTACAAAAACAGGAATTCCCTGTTCACAGGCAGGTACCAGAGGGTGGGTCAAATGCAGGGGGTCATGCAAGGACAGTAGTGGGCAGATGTCACTGACAGCCAGTGCTGGGGGGGGAAAGGAACTTTATTTTAAAAATGTTTTTTAAATTGGAGAGCAAGTGCTTTACAATGTTGTGTTGGTTTCTGCCATACAACATGAATCAGCCATAAGGATACATATGTACCCTCCTTCTTGAACCTCCCTCCCAACCTGCACACCATCCTACCACTCAGAACCAGGCTGAGCTCCTTGTGTTGTACCGCAACTTCCCATTAGCTATTGTACACATGGTAGTGTATACACGTCAGTGAGTGAGTTGCTCAGTCGTGTCTGACTGAGTGATTTTCCAAGTTGCTCTGTTGTGTCCAACTCTTTGGGACCCCATGGACTGTAGCCCACCAGGCTCTTCTGTCTCTGAAATTCTCTGGGCAAGGATACTGGAGTGGGTACTTGTTCCCTTCTCCAGGGGATTTTCCCAACTCAGGGATCAAACTCAGGTCTCCCGTGTTACAAGCAGATCCAAATACCACTCTCTTAATCTACCCCACCTCCAGCCTTTCAGCCTAGGTCCAAAAGTCTATTCTCCAGGTCTGCATTTCTATGGCTTCCCTGAAAATAAGTTCACAAATATAATTTTTTGGGTACCATACGTATGTTTTTGGAGAAGGAAATGGCAACCCATTCCAGTATTCCTCCCTGGAAAATCCTATGGACAGAGAGCCAGGTAGGCTACAGTCCATGGGGTCACAAGTCAGACATAACTTAGCAACTAAACCACATACATATGTATTAATATGCAATCTTTGTTTTTCTCTTTTTGACTTACTTCACTCTGTGTAACAGGCTCTAGGTTCATCCACCTCACCAGAACTGACTCGAATACGTTGCTTGTATTGGTTGAGTAATACTCAGTTGTATATATGTACCACAACTTCTTTATCCATTCATCTGTCAATGAACATAAAGCTTGCTTTCTTGTTCTATCCACGGCAAACTGTGGTGCAATGAACACTGGGGTACATGTGTTGTTTTCAATTATGGTTTTCTCATGGTATATGCCCAGCAGTGGGATGCTGGGTCATGTTAGTTTCAGCCCTAGTTTTTAAAGAAATCTCCATACTGTTCTTCATAGTGGCTGTATCAACTTACATTCCCACCAACAACATAAGAAGGTTCCCTTTTCTCCACACCTTCTCCAGCATTTACTGTTTTTAGATATTTTGATGATGGGCATTCTGACCAATGTGAGATGATACCTCATTGTGGAGTTCATTCGTATTTCACTCATAATGAGTGATGTGGAGCATCTTTTCATGTGTTTGGGGGCCACCTCTATGTCTTCTTTAGATAAATGTCTGTGTAGGTCTTGTGCTGATTTTCCGACTGGGTCCTTTGTTTTTCTGGTATTTGATCTGCCTACGCTGCTTAAATATTCTGTAGATTTATCCTTTTTCAGTTGTTTCACTGCAATTATTTTCTCCCACTCTGAGGGTTATCTTTTTCATCTTGTTTATAGCTTCATGTGCTAAAACATCTAATCAGGTCACACTTGTTTATTTTTGTTTTTATTTCTATTACACTAGGAGGTGGGTCAAAGAGATAATGCTATCATTTATGTCAAAGAGTGTTCTGCCTATATTTTCCTCTAAGAGTATTATAGTTCCCGGCCTTACATGTAGGTCTTTAATCCATTTTAAATTTCTTTTGTGTATAGTGTTAAGAAGTGTTCTAATTTCATTCTTTTACATGAGGCTGTCCAGTTTTCCCAGTACCACTTATTAAAGAGGCTGTCTTTTCTCCATTGTATATTCTTGCCTCCTTTGTCCAAGAAAAGGTGCCCACAGGTGTGTGGGTTAACCTCTGGGCTTTCTATCTTTTATCATTGGTCTGTTTCTGTGCCAGGGCCATACCGTCTTGATGACTGTAGCTTTGTAGTATAGTCTGAAGTCATGAAGGGTGATTGCTCCACCTCTATGCTCTTTCTCAAGACTGCTTTGGCTATTTGGGGTCTTTTGTGTTTCCAGACAAGTTAAAAAATTTTTTTCTAGTTCTGTGAAAAATGCCATCAGTAATTTGACAGGGATTTGCACTGAATCTGTAGATATCACTGGATAGTACAGTCATTTTCAGAATATGGATTCTTCTAATAACATGATACATGTCTCCAACTGTGTTACCTTTGATTTCTTTCATCAGTATCTTATAATTTTCTGTACAGAGATCTTTTGAATGCTTAGGTAGGTTTATTCCTTGGTATTTTACTTTTTGTGTTGCGATGATGATGGAATTGTTTCCTTAGTATCTCTTATTTTTCAATGTTAGTATACAAGAATGCAAGGGATTTCCACATATTAATTTTATTTCTTCCAACTTTGCTGAATTAATTGATTAGCTCTAATGATTTTCTGGTGGCATCTTTAGAGTTTTATATGTATTAGTATCATGTCATCCACAAAAAGAAAGGTGAGTCTTGACACACATCAGCCTGCAAGATGTATTTCAAGGAAGAAACCCACACAACAGTGCTATGTATTCCCAGCTCAGGGGAACCCAGTAGCTTCTGGAATTGCCCTTGGAGATATCTGGGCTCCAATCTACCTGGCTGATGCAAAGGCATCACCTCATCTTTCATGCCACTGCAGGGACCTGGTGTGCAGGAGTCACCATGGGTTGAATTGTATGTGTGTGTCTAAACATGTTTTGTGATCAAGAACTCTAGGCTTTGTTCTAGAGACAAGACATGATAGATTCAGGCAAAGGCATTCCTGAACTAGTCTCCTTACTTTTTCCATTACTACTGAGATACGAATGATAAAATTGATCCCCATATTCTTGAAGCTTATGGTGTTTCTCCAGTGTGAATACACTAGTGAATGGTAAAGGGTGAAGAACTGGTGAGTCAATCCTTTCCCATGTTTATTACCCTCAAAAGGATTCTCTCCTGTGTTGATTTTGAAAACATTTAGTAGGGGACCTCCTTGGATGTCCAGCTGTTAAGGCTCTACCTTCCAATACAGGGGGCACATGTTAGATCTCCAGTTGGAGAACTAAGGTTTCATATGCTGCATGGTGCCGTCAAATATTAAAAACAAAATGTTAAGACAGGAGGAATCAGCAAGGGCTTTCCCACATATCATGTTCCAATGGCTTCTCTCCCAGTGTCATTGTACATAGGAAGTAAGTATTGAGGAACATAAAAAGGTCTACCCACGTTCCTTACAAGAATATGGTTTCTCTCCAGTGTGCCTTCGCTTGTGCATGGTAACAGACAAAGAAGTGGTAAATGTTTTCCCACATATATTGCACTCAAAAGGCTTCTCTCCAGTGTGAGTTCTAAAATGTTTAGTAAGACGTGAGGAAACAGCAAAAGCCTTCCCACATTTGTCACACTTAAAAGGCTTCTCTCCAGTGTGAGTTCTAATGTGTTTAGTAAGACACGAGGAATCAGCAAAGGCCTTCCCACATTTGTCACACTTATAAGGCTTCTCTCCAGTGTGTGTTGTCATATGTTGAGTAAGGCCTGAGGCTCGAGTGAAGGTTTTCCCACATTTTTCACATTTAGCAGTCTTCTCCCCAGTATGAGATTGTAAATGTCTACGAAGAATAGAAGAAAACCCAAAGCCTTTCCCACATGTATCACATTTATAAGGCTTCTCTCCAGTGTGTGTCCTCATATGTCGAGAAAGGTATGAGGATTGACTGAAGGTTTTCCCACATGTGTCACATTTAAAAGGTTTTTCTCTAGTGTGAGTTTTCTTGTGTTGAGAAAGGCCTGAGGATTGAACGAAGGTTTTCCCACATGTGTCACACTTAAAAGGCTTCTCTCCAGTGTGAGTTCTGAAATGGTTACTAAGATATGAGTAAGCAGCAAAGGCCTTCCCACATTTGTCACACTTAAAAGGCTTCTCCCCAGTGTGTGTTCTCATATGCTGAGTAAGGTATGAGGTTTGAGTAAAAGTAGTCCCACATATGTCACACTTAAGAGGCTTTTCTCCAGTGTGTATTTTCATATGTTTAGTAAGGCATGAGGATTGAGTGAAGGTTTTCCCACATGTTTCACACTTAAAAGGCTTCTCTCCAGTGTGAGTGTTCATGTGTTCAATAAGGCGAGAGGAACCAGTGAAGGTTTTCCCACAGTCTTGACATTTGTATAGTTTTATTCCAGTGTGAATTTGACTGTGAACACGAAGGTGTGAGGACGACCCAAAGGCTTTCCCACATTCCTTACATTTATACAGTTGCTCTCCAGTGTGAGTTTTCGTATGCCCAATGAGGTCTGAGGATCGATGGAAGTCTTTCCCACATACCTTACACTTATAGGCCTGGTTTCTAGTGTGAGTTTTCATATGTCCAGTGAGGTTTGAGGATTGAGAGAAGTCTTTCCCACATTCCTTACATTTGTAGGGTTTTATTCCAGTGTGAATTCGACTGTGAACTTGAAGGTATGATGAGGATACAAATGCTTTTCCACATCTCTTACATTTGTAGGGTTTTATTCCAGTGTGAATTCGTATGTGAATGCGTAGGTATGAGGATGATCCAAAGGCTTTCCCACATGTGTCACACTGAAAAGGCTTCTCTCCAGTGTGTGTTTTTATATGTCGTCTACGGCTTAGGGCTGCATCAGAGAATTTTCCAGAATCCTCATGTATGTAGTGTTTGTTAGCTGTGTGAGCTGGTGCATGTGCATGGAGGCTTGTTGACTGAATGGAAGCTCTCCCACATTCATTCCAATTGTCATGTCTTTTTTTCTTCTGAGCTCTCATTTGTGCCTGAAGAAAAGACTCATTAGCAAAGGATTGCCCAAGATCTCTGTGTTCTAAGGCTTTCTCTTGTATGCTACACTGCCAGTACACAGTATCTGGAGTCAGCCTGATGGCTTTTCCACACTGATTAAACATGGAACATTTTTCTCCAGTAAAGGATTCGTTGTGCAGAGTAAAGAAGCTTTTTCCATAATGATTATATTCATAAGAATTGCCTCCATTTTCAGTTCTCTTGTGTGAACTAAGGTATGAGTAGTCACTGTCACTGAAGTCTTTCCACCTGTGCTCACAGTCATACAGTTCCTGTCCATTGTGGCTTTGTGTCTGTGGAGAAATGGATGGATGATGATTCAAAGATCTCTCAGATTCATTAACTGATCCTACCCATCTCAAAACAGAAACATCATTACAGAGAGGATGATGATTTTTACCATCTCTGTTACATTCATACACTTCCTATTGATTTCTTTAAAGTTAAATGATGAAATCCTTTTGACACAATGAGGTGCCATATATTCTAATGGTAAAACAGTTCAATACAATTTCATTGAATTGTTCTCAAAGTTCATTGTCTAATTATATACATGGGAATGATTCCTTGTGGGAAGTCTGCAGCAACTATTCCTAACCTTGGGTTAGGATATTCCCAAATTGATCATAATCAGAATTTGTTGACAGACACTGCTGTCTCTGGGGTGAATGCCACTCAAATATCTATCACTAATGTTCATGCTGTATGGAAATCCCAATATTAACTAAAAGGAAAATAAGTATTTTTTATGAATGAAACTTACTGATCTTACCATTTGTACCCTATTTGATGTTTTTTCCTGCAAAATATCCTGCTGAATTCCCAAGTCATTGGATGTAAGTTGCATTTCCCATTCTAAAGTAAAAGAGAATAACAAATTTAAGACTTTGCAAAAAGAAATGGATGTTAAAGGGGTTTAAAAACAATAAGGCTCATCTGTATAAGTTTCCAATTTAACATACCTTTTAAAAAGGCAACAAAGGCATGAGGAATTTGACTATGACAAAAATTAAGCAAGAGTATATATATGTAGTCAAAATTGAGTACTTGGTTTAAAAGACGAGTCTATGAAGAGTAAAAAGGAAGAAAAGAGAATATTATTAGGGAAAGTTCTGGACAAAGAATATACATCAACATGATAAAACTAAGGGACTTCACAGGTGGTCCAGTGATTAAGAATCTGCCTACAAATGCAGGGGACATATGTGAGATCCCTGGTCCTTAAACTAATATGGCAAGAGTCAAGGCTGTGTGCTACAACTCAGCCTGCACTATAGAGCCCAAGTGACACAACTAGTGAGTCTGGAGGCCCTAGAGCTCATTCTCTGCAACAAGAGAAACTACCCAATGAGAAGCCTGTGCACCAAAAGTAGAGTAGCCCCTGATCACTGCAACTAGAGAAAGTCTGCACACAGCAACAAAGAGCCTATATACAGCACCCTCACCCCCCCCAAAAAAAAAAAAAATATATATATATATAACTAATACAGAAACAAAAGGCTATTTTGTGAGATCACAGGAAAGTCTGATTAAATGTATGTATGTATGAGAAGTTCAAGAAGTCACAGAACATTAGAAACCAATGTCCTCAGCCTTCTGAGAGAAAGCCCATTTCAATAAGCTTCTTTCTTATAAATTCAAAACACACTGAAATTGAATTGACATGGGAAGTTCTTTATAATTGCTCACCTTGGAGGATTCCTTTCTCCACAGTTTTTAATACTTCTTGTTCCAACCAAGAGATTAAAGTGGGTTTGAATGCCTGATGTCCTGTTCACAAGGAAAGATATATTAATGAAAAAGTCCCTGTCAGATATGACAAACCTTCCCATGAATCAGGTCCGATATCTAATCAAGTCATTAGAATGAATGTGGTAATAATTTTCAAAGAGATAAAAAGGCAAATAGCTTTTCACACTCTTTCAGTGTGTCAAAGAGACTGTATCTGTGGCCAGTGAAAAACATATTCAGACCTATGTGAACATTTACAAAGCACTGAATGTTGTTAAATGGGAAATAAAGTAAATGTTAAAAGATGTTTGGTCTCATGGAGAAGCTCCTAAACTAGTGGTTGCCAAATGTTGGTTTCAAGACTCATGCCCACTGCTTGTTAAAACACAGATAACTGGGCCCAAATTCCAAAGTTTCACTCACTATGCCAAAGGTGAACTCTTGAGAATGCATATTTCAAACAAGAGTCATGATAATGCTGTTAGTTCTCAAAGCTCATTGTTACAGAAAGTATACTGGAGTAAAACTCATTCCTTAGATACAAGTGTCTACTAGTTCCATTGTGTTCAGATTGGCATCACCCATCTTGGAACACAGAAGGTACAGCACATGTATGTCCATTCCCTAAGAGTATACAGGAATGATGGCAGCCTTACCTGCTGTGGTCAGGTTCTTATAGTTTTCCAGCATCACATTTCTATATAGCTTTCTCTGAAAGGGGTTCAGTAAAGTCCACTCTTCCTGGGTGAAGTACACAGCCACATCAGCGAAGGTCACTGAGTCCTAAACCATTGCACACACAGTAGTTTCAGGAAAGTAAGATCTCCAACAATGTACAGTGGAGAATGAGGAAGGGAGCCCAAATATCAACCGAGGGCCTCAAGGTCTCTCATCATCTCTCCCAGGACATAACGGTCTTAGCTCTCCTTTCTAGCTACACCCACTCGTGACTGATATGGAACCAGTAACACAATCCTAAACAAATTACACACACTTGTGCAAGCTAATAAATAAGGTCACTAAGAAATATATACTCTCATTCTGTACCACGTCAAAACAGTCAAAATAAAACACATGCAGAAGCAATCATGAGACAATATCAGAAGGTAATTACTAAAATACTAAGATTATTGAGAGCAATCCCTTATCAATATGAGACCTTTCACATTGGGAAGAAATTCAAAAGGGACTCAGACTGGCTTTATTTAAGAAGCTGTGTACATAAGTCTAACCAGAAGGAAATGTTTCCATATGGTGCATGCAGTAGCTCACTCTGTATTAGGATGCCCTGTCTTCTTACCTGAGAACAATCACTCAAACACTCAGCTACCATTCTGTCTTGCCTCTATCCTTTCCTCAGGATCACATAAAGGGTCCTTAGAAGGAAGATCTATGAGAAAAGAAGGCATGTGCATTCAGAGATGATCATAATTCCCACAATCACTGTGTGAAAGTCATTCCATTCTAGTTCAAAATCCCTGAATATCCCTGCACACTCAGAAAATGTCACACTGAGAGGAAAGCAGGTGAAGTAGGACCCTGAGCTCACCTCCCCCTCAGGAACATATCAAAAATACACCTATATGGAGCCCCTTCCCACTGAAAACAAACTGGAGACATTCAGAATGATGTCCAAAACCAAGGCTGTAAAAATGACCCACAGAGTCAGGTTAGGAAAGGAGGGGAATTGATCCAGTTTTAGTGCTCGCTGCCAAGTAGAGTGCACACTGGAGGGTATGCAGCAGATCTGGACCCAGCACTGCATCTGAATAAGATGAGTTAAGCCAGTGCTGACACTTGTGGAGGTGATGGATCAGGAGCTGTCTGTATACCCGACTGGCATCCTAGACAGTCTCAGTGTGTGTCTGGCCCACAAAAACCCTCCTGTTTCAGCGTTGCTTCCTCCAAGGCAAAGGTACCCTTGCTGGGAGCAGAGAGAGCACAAACATGGAGAGAACAGAACTGACTGAGAGGCAACACTCAGGGCTTCTGCTTCCAGGACCTTAGAACCAGACCTGGCTCCTGCTCCTGATGACCGGGTAGTGATAACCACTGTGCACAGGAGAAAAACGCTCACACAGGGCTCTGGCTCTAGCCACTGTATCTCCAGCACAACTTCCCAACAAGGACACCCCGAGGAAAGACATAACCTGTGCTCACCACATTTTATTTTTTGTTTTGAAGATTTATTTACTTATTTCTTTGGCTATGCTGGGTCTTCTTTGCCATGCTCAGTTACAGTGGGCTGGGGCTACTCTGTAGCTGTGCATGGGCTTTTCATTGGGTTGGCTTCTCTTGTGCTGGAGCACAGGCTCCAGGGTGAACAGACTTATTAGTAGTTGCAGCATGTGGGCTCAGTAATTACAGTACCCAGGCTCTAGAGCACAGGCTCAAGAGTCAGGGCACACAGTCTTAGTTGCCCTGTGGCATGTGGGATCTTCCTGGACCAGAGATCAAACCCATGTCCACTGCATTGGCAGGTGGACTCTTCACCACTGACCCACGAAGGAAGCCCCTTTATTTGTATTTTTAAAGTTTTATTTCTTAAATTTTGTCCATGCCACGCAGCTTGTGGGATCCGAGCTCCGCTACCAGGGATCAAGCACTGTAGTGGAATGTGGTGCCTCAATCAAGGGACTGCCAAGGAAGATTCTCCTCTGCTTAAATTCAGCTCTCCCATCAAAGCTACTGCACACAAAGACTGCGTGTTGTTGCTGCTGCTAAGCCACTTCAGTCATGTCCGATTCTGTGGGACCCCATAGATGGCAGCACACCAGGCTCCCCCGTCCCTGGGATTCTCCAGGCAAGAACACTGGAGTGGGTTGCCATTTTCTTCTCCAATGCATGAAAGTGAAAAGTGAAGTGAAGTTGTTCAGTCGTGTCTGACTCTTAGCGATCCCATGGACTGCAGCCTACCAGGCTCCTGCGTCCATGGGATTTTCCAGGCAAGAGTACTGGAGTGGGTTGCCATTGCCTCCTCCCAAAGACTGCATAGGGACCTACAAAAGGACACACCTTCAAAGATGGGATAGGTAAGTGTTTCACTTAATTTCACAGAGACAGAGAAAGTGAAATAAAATGAGGAGATAGAAGAATTTGTTTCAAACAAAAGAACAAAGATAAAACATAGATGAAACAACTAATTTAATATAGATAAATAATATACCAAATAATCAGTTTAAAGCATTAGTAAAAGAACTCCAGGGCTTCACCAGATGAAGCAAATGAAGATGAAACAGGCAGTCTACCTGAAAAAGAATTCAGTGTAATGATATTAAAGGAAATAGTCACCCAAGTTCAGGAAGCCCAGAGTGTCTCATAAAGAAAAACCCCAAAAGAACCATACCAACACACATATTATTCAAACTAACAAAAATTAAACACAAAGAAAAATGATTAAAAGCAACAAGGCAATGCTGGTGGAAAAGGAAACTGATATAGCCAAATGGAAAACGATATGGAGATTCCTTTAAAAATTAAGAATAAATCTACCATATAACTCAAATCTCACTACTAAATTATAGTGTTTATTGCAGCAATATTTATAATAGCTAGGAAATGGAAGCAATCTAGATGTCCACTGACGGATGAATGGATACAGCAATTATGGTACATTAATACAGTGGATTTTACCCAGCCATAAACAGGAACAAGTCTGAGTCAGTAATAGTGGATGAACCTAGACCATCTTATACAGAGTGAAGTCAGAAAGAGAAAAAAAACAAGAATCATATATTAATGCATATACATGGAAGGCAGCAAAATGGTACTTATGAACCTGGCAGAGAAGCAACTTGTAGACATAGAAGGGGAAGATAAGGGCGGGGTGTATTCAGAAAGCACCACTGACATATATACACTATCATGTGTAAAATATTAGTGGGAAGTTGCTTAATAACAAAGGGAGTCCAGTCTGGTGCTCTGTGATGACCAACAGGGGTGGAATGTGGGAAGAAGAGGGAGACTCAGGAGGGAAGTGATACATACACACATACATGTAAACTTGTGACTGATTCTCAGCGTTATATGGCAGAAACCAATACAAAATGTAAAGAACAAGAATGCTAGGGCTTTCCAGGTCATTCAGTGGTAAAGAACCTATCTGTCAATGCAGGAGACATGGGTTTGATCCCTTGATCAAGAATATTCCCTGGAAAAGGAAGTGCCAACCCACTCCAGCATTCTTGTCTGGGAAATGTCATGGACAGAAGAACCTGTTAGTCCATAGGGTCGCAAAGAATTGGACATGACTTGGTGACTAAAGAACAACAACAAATAAGAATGCTAACTGAACTGGAGAAAAGAATGAATGAACATAGTTAAAGTTGTAACAAGGAACATAGACAATAAAAAAGAACCAGTTGGATCTGAAGAACAATAAAATAACTGAAATAAAAAACATGCTAGAAAGTATTAACATCAGATCAGGGGGCATAGGAGAATGCACAATTGATATGGAAGATAAAATAACAAAAATCAGAAAAACAGAAAGAGAAAACAAATTAAAAAAATGAGAACTGTATGGCAATACCCTGGCAGACTAGTGGTTAGGACTCAGTGCATTCACTACTGTGGGCCCGGGTTTGATTCCTCATCGAGAAATTAAGATCCTACAAACTGTGTGTTGTGGAAGAAAAAACAGGTTAAGGAATCTCTGGTTTAACATAAATGATTCTAACTTTCTCGTAATTGGGTCTCAGAAGAAGAGAGAAAAAGACGAGGGAAAATGTATTTGATAAAAATATGAAAACACAGAGCTTGCTGTAGCTCAGATCTTGAGTTCCTGATTGCAAAATTTAGGCTTAAATTGAAGAAAGCAGGGAAAACCACTAGGCCATTCAGGTATGACCTAAATCATACCCATTATAAGTGAGGGTGACAAACAGATTCAAGGGATTCTATCTTGTAGTCAGAGTGCCTGAAGAACTATGGACGTAGGTTCACAATACTGTACAGGAGGCAGTGACCAAAACCATCCCAAAGAAAAAAATGTAAAAAGTCAAAATGGTTGTCTGAGGCAGCTTTACAAATAGCTGTGCAAAGAATAGAAACAAAAGGCAAAGGAGAAGAAGAAAGATATATACCCAAATGAACATACAACTCCAGAAAACTGCAAGGAGAGATAAAAAGGCCTGCTTAAATGAATAAAGCAAAGTTAATAGAGGAAAACAACAGCATGGGGAAGACTAGACATCTCTTCAAGAAAATTGGACATATGAAGGATGTTCATGCAAGGATGGACATGATAAAAGACAGAAATGGTATCATCAAACAGAACCAGGGAAGATTAAGAAAAAGTAGCAGAAATACACAGAAGACCTATTTAAAGAAAAGTATTAATGACACGGTGTGTGTCACTCACACACGATGGTGTTCTCACTCACCTAGAGACAGACATCCTGGAGTGTGAAGTCAAGTAGGCCTTTGGATGCATTACTACAAACAGAGCTAGTGGAGGTGATGGAATTCCAGCTGAGCTATTTAAAATCCTAAAAGATGATGCTGTTAAAGTGCTGCACTCTATACGTCTGCAAATTTGGAAAACTCAGCAGTGGCCACAGGCCTGAAAAATGACAGTTTTCATTCCAATCCCAAAGAAGGGCAATGCAAAAAAATGTTCAAACTTCCGTACAATTGCACCCATTTCACATATGCTAGTAAGGCTATGCTCAAAAATCCTTCAAGCTAGGCTTCAACAATACATGAACCAAGAACTTCCTGATGTTCAACCTGGGTTTAGAAAATGCAGAGGAACCAGAGATCAAATTGTCAACATTTATGGACCATAGGAAGGCAAGGGAGTTTCAGAAAATCATCTACTTCTGCTTCATTAAGTATGCTAAAGCCTTTGACTGGGTGGATCACAACAAACTGTGGAAAATTCTTAACGAGTAAGAATACCAGACCACCTTAACTGTTCCTTGAGAAAACTGTATGTGGATCAAAAAGCAAATGAAGTGGACAGGGAGGGGTGACTGGTTCAAAGTTGAGAAAGGAGTACAAGAAGGCTGTATATTGTCACCCTGCTTATTTAATTTCAATGCAGAGTACATTATTTGAAATGCAAGACTGGATGAATCACAAGTGGGCATCAAGACTGCCAGAAGACATTATCAACAATCTCAGAAACACACATGATACCACTCTAATGACAGAAAGTGAAGAGGAACTAAGGGGCTTCTTAATGAGGGTGAAAGAGGACAGTAAAAAAGCTGGCTTAAAACTCAACGTTAAAAAAACTAAAGTTAATCATGGCATCTGTTCCCATCATTTCATGGCAAAGAGAAGGGAGAAAAAGTAGGAGCAGAAACCATATTTTCATTATCTCCAAAATCACTGTGGATGGTGACTGTAGCCATGAAGTTAAAAGATATTTGCTCCTGGGGAAAA